ATTTTCCTTGTTCTTGAAGAACATCCGTTAGAATTCCCTTAGTGAGAGTCCATTCATTGTAATGGTCTCATTTTTTAAATCTTTTTTGTTTTAAAATTTATTTTATTTATTTGAAAGGCAGAGTTACAGAGAGAGAATGAGAGGGAGTGATAGAGAGAGATCTTTCATCCATTGGTTCACTCCCCAAATGGCCTCAGTGACTGGGCCAGGCCAGGCTAGAGTCAGGAGCCAGGAGCTTCATCCAGGTTTCCCATGTGGGTCAGGGGCCCAAACGCTTGGGCCATCCTCCATTGCTTTCCCAGGTGCATTAGCAGGGAGCTGGATCAGAAGTGGAGTGTCTGGGACTTGAACCAATGCCCATATGAGATGTTGGTGCTGCAGATGGCAGCTTAACCTGTTATGCCACAACACCAGCCCCTCACTTTTTTTTTTTATCTTGTGAAGGTGTCTGTCCTAGTCTTTTATATTTCTGTCACAAAAGACCACAGACAATATAACTTATAGAAACAATGTATTTATCAGATTTCTGAAGGCTTGAGATGTCCAGTGTCAAGCTGGCAGCACCTGGGGAGGCATCCTTTTCTGCTGTGTTAGAACCTAAGGGAGGACACCACGTGATGAGGGCCAGGGAGCGCAGGAACCTGCAACTCAGTTCTTTCTTCTTTCTCCTCCTCCTCTTATTCTTCTGATTTACTTGTTTGAAAGGCAGAACAACAGAGAGAGAGAGAGAGAGAGAGAGAGAGAGAGAGAGAGAGGGAGAGGGAGAGGGAGAGGGAGAGGGAGAGGGAGAGGGAGAGGGAGAGGGAGAGGGAGAGGGAGAGAGGGAGAGAGAATCTTCCACCTGGTTGTTCATTCCCAAAATGTCTGCAATGGTCAGGGCTGGGCAGGCTGAAGCCAGGGGCCTGGAACTCCATCCAGATCTCCCACATGTAGCAAGGGCCCAAGTACCTGGGCCATCTCCACTGCCTTTTCAGGTACGTTAGCAGGGAGTCGGAATGGAACCAGAGCAGCTGGGACTCAAATTGGTGCTCCAGTATGGGATGCTGGCCTTGCAAGTGGCAGCCTAACCTGCTGTGCCACAACACCGGCTCCTCTCTTCCGCTTCTCACAAAACCACTAATCCTGATGTTGGGGTTCACCCCCATGGCATCATCTAACCCTGATGACCTCCCATAGGCCATGCCTCCATCAACATAAAGGAGATTAAGTTTCCAACACATGAACTTTGGGGAAGCCATTCTAACTATGGCTTCATCTTTTCAATCTCATTCTTGAAAACTATTCAAGGTAGACAGTCATAGTTCCTCAGCACTTCTTTATTTATTTGACACTTTTCCAGTGAATTTTTGCTAATAGTAAATCATGATTCAGGGTCTCAGAATGGATATCATCATGACTTGGGATCCTCTCCACCACCTGGGAGAAGGACGATCCTCTCCACCACTTGGGAGAAGGACAGAGGAGAGGTGGGAGCTCAGATCTTTCCAGGAAATGTGTCTTCTGTCTGGTGATTGGCCCAGGGACTCGGACACACAATGGCACCATTTGCACTGGCCATCGTCCCCTTTCATGGTCATTGCCTTCTTCAGAAGTGGAAGACCAGGTGGTTCTACCAGCAGTTCGTGGTCTGGTTTGGGTTTGAAGAAGTCTGTAGTTCTTGCTGTGGTCTTGAGATGTCTTCTGCCGTGGTGCCAACTCCTGGAGTGGGTATTGGCAGGGGTTCTCAGAGGCCTAGAAACTCCCCAGAAGTACCTTGCTGTTTGATGTGACCCTTGGCCTCTGAGCTGTCTTCTGGCTTCCGTTGTTGGTATTGGGACAGTCACTGCCAGCACCTTTAATAACTCATCTTCTCTCTACTGATCAGCAGTTTAGCTAAATACTTGGTAAAGGTTTTTTTCTCATTTTCTTGGGTTAGAGGAGCTTCCAGAATCTGAGGACTGCATATTTCACCAACATTGGAAATCTTCCATTTCCTCCTAGAACTCTACGTGAACATATTCAAGTCCTTGTTCCATCTTCTATGTCTCTTAACCTTTTACACATTTCCCATCTCTTTATCTCTGTGTGCTATATTCTGAGTCAGTTCTCCAAACCTGTTGTCCAGGTCACTAATTCTCCCTTCAGCTATGTTAATCTGCTGTGTAATCTGTCCACTGAAATTCCAGTTTCAAAACATTATGTTTTTTATAAGTACTACTTGATTTTTTTCAAATCCTTCTGGTCATTTCTTGGTAGTCTCTTGTTATTACCAACTTTATCTCTTTAAACACATGAATCATCCTTATTTTATATTACATAAACTATCTTTATAAGTCTAAAGTTTTTAAACATCTGACTCTATGGTTTACTGCTTTGTGCCACTCTCCAAAATTCCTTGTGACTTGACTTTTAGGATTTAATGCTTGCATGTGAGCTCATGTTCCTGGTGACTTTTTCTGTGGGAATCATTCCAGGCCTGAGTTTAAGGTGAATTACACCAGGGGTGATTTGCATCTTCCTGCCATGTGCCTAGGGAAATGTCAGAAAAACACCTTCACTTTTTATATTGCTTGTTTATTGTTGTTGCTGTATGGCATATTGCTGCTTGGTTATTGATGCTGTAAATCCCACTTCCAGACCCATCATGGGCCAGCGAGCAGTTAGGAGCATTTGGAGCTGAAATGTTTTTTCCCTCACCTGCAAGTCATGGCTGAGCCAGGCCAGCTCTGTGTCCACTCCGTTTGTGTTGCGTTGTGGTGGTCTTTGCTGTGGTGGCGGTGGGGGTTCTTCTGATTCTATTTTTGATTTTTCTCGAGCTCTGGGTTTTGTCCAGGCCCGCTGAACTGGAGTTCTTGGCCAGCAGGCTCCTCAGGGAAGCCTTTGCTCCTGCTGTCTTTGGACTTGGACTTGTCACTTCCGACAGCTGATGATTCGTCCTCACTTCTCGCCGCCACAGCGGTGCGTTTTTAAGGATGACGTGAACTGGTTTTGTTGGACTCTCTTTCTCCGGTGTTTTGCATCAGAGACGCCTCAGCTTATGCTGTCTATCAAATTGTCAGCAACCATGTCTGGCCATCTTTCCCAGCCCCTCTTAATCACGTTTCGCTCAGGACCAGAAGACCGCGTATTGTGGTCGTCTCACCCTGGCTTGTGGTTTGGTCGCTGTTTGTGAATTGCATGCTCCTTGCCCACAGAATCCCACAAACGGACGTCTGGGTAAATGCAAATGGAATTCCAGCAGGGAACCCAACACACCCGTGCACCGCCCTGTGCTGCTACACACCATCCACTAGGGGGCAGCCTCAGCTGATGGCAGAGACCATTCTGCCCCCTCCGCTCCACAGGGTCTCAGGGTGGGAGGAGCCTGGCTCCCTATGGCCCCAAAACCTCTTGCATCAAACCACCCCTTGATCAGGACTTGATGGAGGAGGACCCCCCCCAATAAGTGAGGAAACAAAGATGAGGATGTGGGGAGTGGACGGGGAGTGGCCGGCCAGGAGAGGTGACCTGAGAGGGGTCACAACCAACCCTCTTCTGGGCTAATTCAGGGTTCTGTTTGGACATCTAAAGAATTTATTGGTTCATTTACTCAGCAAAACTTTATTCAGCACCTACTGTATGCCCACAGGGGAATTAAACACTTTTAGTCCCTGTTTTCTTCCTTTGGTGCCCAGCTGCTGCCGTCCACCTAGACAGCTCAGCATTCCCCAGCCTGCCCCGACCCTCTTCCTCCAGCCTTCTCCTTTTGCTGTTCCTTCCAGCCCTTAGCCTCCGCCATCACTGCCTGTTGAATCCCTCCTCATTCCTCCAGGGCTCATCGCCATGCTGGAATCCTGAACCCAGAGGTGAGGGGAGCTGGACCCCTCTGTACCATCTCAGGGGGCAGCCCCCACTTGGTCCAGGGCTCTTTCTCTGCAGAAGGAGGTGAGAGATGTCTCCTCCCAGGCTCACCCCAGTTTACGTTTCTCTGAGGGAGACTTGTGCTCTTGGCTCTCAAAGAAGTGCATCAAGGGGCAGGAACTGTGGTACAGAGGATCAAGCCACCACCTGCAATGCCAGCACCCTACGTGGGCGCCAGTTCAAGTCCCAGCTGCTCCACTTTGATCCAGCTCCCTGCTAATGAGCCTGGGAAAGCACTGGAAGATGGTCTAAGTACTTGGGCCCCTGCCACTCACATGACAGACCCAGATAGAGCTCCAGGCTCCCAGCTTCCACCTGGCCCAGCCCTGGCCATTGCAGACATTTGGAGAGTGAACCAGCAGATAGAAGATTTCTCTGCCTCTCTCTGTCTCTGTCACTCTCTTCCTTTCAAATAAATGAAATCTGTAAATATGCCTTTCAAGTAAATGAAATCAGTCTTTAAAAAAAAGTGCATTGAGGGGCGGTGTCGCGGCATAGCAGGTTTAGCTGCCACTTGGGACACCTGCATCCCATATCAGAGGCCTGCCTCTGCTGCTGACCCAGCTTCCTCTGAGTGTGCCCAGGGAACAGTAGATGATGGCTTAGGCACTGAGTTTCTGCCGCCCACCCAGGAGACCTGGGTTAAGTTCTGGGCTCCTGGCTTTAAGCCTGGCTGTGATTGGCATCTGGGGACTGAAGCAATGATAGAAGATACCACTTTGCCTTGCCCTCTTTCTCTGTCATTCTGCCTTTCAAAAAAAAAAAGTGCTTCCTGTTTCCCAGCTACCTTTGAACTAAAGGACATGGTAAACTTGGGATGTGACCCTATGAGAGCAGAATCCATGGAATGGGACATACAATGGATCATTCATTCCCCTTCCAATGTGTGTTAATTGAACATCTACTATGTGCCATTGGACACAGTCCCTCCGTTTCCCTCTTCATTAGAGGATCCTGGGGAAGTGTGTGTCCACACGTGTGTGTCCATGTAGTCTGACTCCATGACTCTTGGGGTTCACTCAGGCCTGGGGCAGAGGCAGCTGCACCCACTCAGCTTGCAGCTGTACCAGCTTGGCTTCCTGGAGACCGAAACCACAAGCAGAAGAGAGAGGCGTGAGAGGCACTCACAGGCTGGGTTTGGTTGTCTGCGTGTCAGAGAGCAGCAGAGAGAAAGGCACACGTAGGACCAGCAAAGGGCAGGGCAGGCAAGAGGGGTGCACCTGCTGGCCCCAGGATGGCGCTTCCCACTGGTGGACACGCATAGTGACAAGATGGCCCCGGACATACGGCTCCTCGTCGTGATGGCTGGATTGCTGAGGGCAGCTTTCCCAGGTAACCAACGCCTTTGTTACCTCTGCTGCTTGTGCTAAGAACCTGGGTCTTGTCCTTGGAGCCCGCCTCCTGGTTGTTTCCCGGAGCCGTTTAGCCAAGACTGTATTCTCGTAGCAGGGGGGCCCTGGCCATGCCAACAGCAGCCAGGGCTGGGAGAGGCACCAGGGCTGTGCCTGGACAGTGTTCCAGTCCCGAGAGGTGCCGGGAGTGAGACGGTGTGAGCACAGTGCTGTGTGTCGCACCAAGGGCTCCCTGGTGCTGCTGCTCTCCAGGGGGAACAGGAACTCCCCCCACGTCTTTCTCGCCACCTTGCAGGAAGCAGCCATTCCCCTTCCCAAAGGCAGGGCCTCTGCTGGTCGGATTTTCAACACCAAAGCTGAGCTCAGGGCTCACCAGCCTTGTGCCAGAAACAGCTCTGGAAGGCCCAGGAGACTGAGTGACTGGCGGCCTCAGCTCCGCCAGCTGGGGTGGTCCAGGGCACATTTAAGTGGCAGGCTCTTGAGGGCCACCCTGCTCTCCCACACCGGGGGGTGGCCAGAGCACACTTGCGACCTGCGCAGGGTGAACAGGTGGCTACAGACCTGTGCTCACCACACATGCAGGCCCCTGTCAAAGAGTATGTAGAAGTCTAACTGGTCAGGGGTGGGCAGAGGTCCAGAGAGCCTGCCCCGGGGGCCAGGAGACTGGTATGGAGACAATACTGTGGACACAGGGAGCCTGGGTCCACCCTGCAGTGGGGAGCCAAGTGCTTTCAGTTTGTAGTGAGGGCAGCCTGGGAGGCCCCATCAGGACGGGACATGGGAAGCAGGTGCACACGCCCCTGCCCAGGGCTCCTCTCTGCCCCTCTCTGCAGGCACGTGCTCTGAGCCTCTGGGCTGCTCTGCTCATAGCTCTGGGAGTGTGAACTGGTGTGCCCCGGGCTCTGTGGGGTCGACCCTCGGCTTCACCTCCTTCCTTGCGCTACCAGAAGTTACCAACCCAGGAGCCCATGGGGACAGACAGACGGGCTCCCTCCCCATCTCCCTTCTCGCCACTCCCTCTGCTCTTCCCTGGGAGGCTCAGGGTTCAGCTGGAGTGGGCAGGCCCTCCAGCGGGAATGAGGGCTGAGCCGGGTGCCGGGCTCCAGGCTCTGCTGGCCTGTGCTGGACCCTGGGGAACCAGCCTTGAATGGCGCCCAAAGGGGAAGCAGGAACCCGGGAGCCCGGGCAGAGCCCCGGCCTGGCCTGCTTCGTTCCTAGCACAACACTCACTTCTTGTTTTTGAAACTGCATTTATAGTTGACTCACTTTTTGTTCCTAATATCAACTGAGTTTTGAAAGGAAACTGTACGTCACGATTGTAACTGGAAAGGTGGTATCATTTGTCCTAAGCAAAAGGGAAGGGATGCATAAAAATAAATGGTGGCAAAAAAAAAAAAAAAAAAAAAGCTAGTCTATGTTCTGTCCGGCCCCTCGCTGGGCGCTGCACCGGCATTCAAGGCCCTTGCGGGGGTCGGCAGCTGTGTAAATGCGCCCCAGAAGGAAGGACTTTCCAGGCAGAAGGGGAATTGCACCCCAGGGAGGCTGGGCCCCTGTGCCCAGCCTGAGTCTTTCTTCCCCTGCACCTCGACCGCGCAGGCCCAAACCCCAGCAAGCCCCCAGAGGGGAAAGAAAGAAAAAAAGATGGAGGAGAGAGAGGGAGGAGAAGGAGCCCGGAGAATGAGGGCTGGGGTAGGGTTCCAAGGCCTCCGCCTGTGTCTGAAGCCTAGGTTGGGCTGCCTGGCCCTGCCCTGAGGAGCACGGTGTGGGGGAGCCTGGCCCACCTGGGGACTGGCAGACCTGGCCATGGCCCTCCGATGCCGGAGCAGACCTCCCCAAGGAGGTTCCCGGCTCTCTGCCCTGGACCTCACACGGCTACATCCTTGGCCAGGTGGGCCGGATCCTGGGCTGGCTTCTCCCCAGTGCCTGGTTTGTGTTGGTGAATGACCAGCACTTAGAGGATTGGGTCCAAGTTTCCCTTGGGCTCCCTGTAGGCCTGGGTCCAGGAGCCTCCGCTTCTGTGCCTCTGGGGACGAAGATGTAGGGAGAATGAACTAGAAGTCTTTGATGAGGGAGGGTCCTGCTCTGACTCCCATGTGGCTGTGCTCCTCTCCTTCTTCTGTCCTCAGTTTTCCTGTCAGTGGAATGGGGGTGCTTTGGGGAGATACAGGGGTGCCTCCGGGTCTGACCCTCCAATGCTGTAACAAGGGCTTTTGCACCGGGGCAGTGCCAAGGTCCTGACTCGAATCCCACTGGTGCTGCCATTTGGCGTGGAAACAGGGGCTTGTGGTTGCTTTGAAAGTATTTCAATTCTTTAACAAATTTAAAAACCTGTTTCTTCCTTAACTTGGAAGTTTAGCATACAAATCCCATTTTATTTATCAGCTCAGTAATTTTTAACAATGACTTTCAAGGGGCCTTTGATTAATATTTCAGCAAATCAGTTGGACAGTGTAAGCTTCCTTAAATAATAAATGTTCTCAACAAGGGAAGCCAATTAAGTTCCCTTAGATCTGTGCTGTTCAATGCTGTAGCCCCTGGAAACGTTCATTTAAAACGTCGCGGCTCAAATGGAGATATGTAAAGTGTAAAATGTACAATAGATTGTGAAGGTGAGTTCCAAAAAGAACATAATGTGTCTCATTAATAAACATTAAGTGAATTGCATGTTGAAATGATAATACCTGGGATATTTTATATTAAACAAATTTTATTATGTCCCCTTTTACTTTTTAACAATGTCACTATTGGAAAATTTTAAATTATGTATGAAAAGGCTTCAAAAAGTTCATTGAAAAAATGTGTATTTTGGAAACACCATGCAAGGATTTCTTTTCTTTTCTTTTCTTTTTTTTTTTTTGGAACCAAATTTGGTTTTCCATAAAACGTTTTGAAATCCCCTCACATGTAGGTTGTGTTGTATTTATATGGGGTAGCACAACCTTTGGCATCCTAAACTCCAATTACAAGTATAATGGATTCCATTCTTGGGGAAACAACCTTCCCAAGGATTTCAGAGAATGCCTTCAGATCTAAAAACTCTGCTATTTAAAAATATGAACTGAAATCAATTACCACATCACATCACATACATGAGAAACTCCACTGGCCAAATATTCCGAAACATCCCAGGTAGGAGCTTGCAAATGTAAGGGGATACTTCAGTGTGCGGAAAATAGAATTAAAAGATAAGCTTATTTGGGTGTGAAAACAAGTTTGAAATTCACACGTAGTTTTGTCAGCACACACATTTTCCGCAGACTTCGGAAGCACCCTCGTAGAAGCATCAGGGGTTTTTGTTTCTTTAGTCATCTTTATTTTCTAAATTCTAATCTCCCTGTGCTGAAAAGTCACTGGCCCACGACCCCTGGATCCAAACTGTATAAACGTAGCCTTCGGTGCCTGCCCTCACCAAGGGGGCATTGCCACTGGCTTGCACTCCATCAAACACACGCGTCACCTTTCCTATTCTGATTTCTTTCCACGTTCTCCACGCCTGGCCAGCTCCATCTTGTAGATGTCTAAGTGACATAGGACTGGTGTCTACACTTTCTGCCTTAGTCTGTTCAAAAAGGTGGGTGACTAACACGCGGAGCCAGCAAGCTCATAGCAGAGGTGGTGGTGGTGGTGAGGATCGGGGCAGCTCCTAAGGTTCATTTAACCAACCACGGATGACTACGGAAGGATCTAGAATGAGTGAGAAACACCTCCACGGCCTCCCTCACTTGGTCTCCGTTCACTGGTGGCACCATCCCCATTTCCTTCCAGGAAAGCTGGGAACTCAGTTGGGCCCAGCTGTTGGGAGTCTGAGGTGAAGGAGCTGGCCTTCTCCTTGGGACAGGGAGGAACCAGCAGGTGACTCTGTCTGAGGCCCTGGGACAGTGGCTGGGAGAAACTCTGACTGCCTGCTAGGAAAAGGCACCTGTCCAGCCGTCCAGCCTCCCAGCCTGGGCCATAAACCTGAAACCGGCCACTTCACTGCCCAGGCCAGGTGCTTGGGCTGCACTGAGCAGACCTCACGGAGCTGGCGTCCCGAGCGCCACCCTTTCCCGCTCCCCAGCACCTGTCCCTCTGCCTAGGGTCTCTGGTACATTCTTTAGTGCTGGGTTTCCTGGGCCCCACATTCCAGTCCACCTTCCTGGGGTTTGCTAAAATCAGCCTGGCCATTGCCATTTGGTTTTCTCTTAATCAATGCCTTAAGGTGAAAATGAATTTCTTTTAGAAGAAAGCTTACAGCACTCCCTTAAAGGGAAAGCCACTGAAAATCGCTGTAATAATAACGGTGGAAATAAGACTCACGGAAACAAATGACATCATGAAATCCCAGCTGGTCCCATTACTGCTTTCCCCTGCTGAAAATGGAGGGCTGTGGGTATCAGAGAGGCAGGAGCCCTGGGTCCTGCCGGGAGCTTTCTCTTCCAAGTCATTGGAAAGGCTGATGGGGAAGCAGAGGGGCACAACCTCCTTAGCAGGTGACTTGGTGGCACACAGGGCCATGTCCGTGACCCCGAGTCATCGTGCAGACGTCCGGCTGCGTGCCCTGCTCTTTGGAAATGTGGACGCCCTCCTTACGGGCCCGAGCCAAGAGAGGCTGCATGCTCAGTTTCCTGCTCAGAAAGCCCCGGATCAGGTGGTCCTCTAGCCCCTTGGGCAGCCCCTGGATTTCCCTGGGGAACCTTGAAGTTGGGGAGTGACACCCAAACTCAAGTCGCCGACTCAGCTCTGGGAAACTCAGCACCTGCAGCATGGCTGGCGGAGGCTGGGGGAGAAGGAGCCTTTGACAGGGAGAGGCGGGGGTGCATGTTTGCAGCTCTGGCCCTGCCTTGCTGGGTCATCTCAGTCAAGTGGCCTCCTTTCTCTGGCCCTGGTTTCCTCCCTGGAAAAACGGGCCCATTGAACACTGAGGACACAGCCTATCCGTTCTGGTACTTTCTGTTCACTCCTCCAGTAGGGCTGCAGCTGCCAGGAGCAGAGGTCCAGCCA